AACATTAGGCAATACAAACTAGTCAGTCCAATTCAACATTTTTCAATCAAGTTTACTAAGAAAGTCTCGAACAGGGTTCCCTTTAATTCAGTAACAGCTGTAATGCAAGTAAATCAATACAACATCATGCTACATGAAACTGAAAGGTCTCCTCCGATCCTAGTCGTTGGAGTGGCCTGCATCACACACCATCGCGTTGGGCGGCGTAACATGATTCTCCCACGTTTACTCGTTTGTAGCCAAAGCGTCTGTTTGTGTTTGTTGTCGAATTTTTCAACACCTGTAAACTTAGCAGCATCTTTGAGTACGCAGTCTTCCAATTCATCCGGTCTGCCCCTTACCTCATTCCATAATTTGGCTTCCAGTTCAAACAGAAACCTCCGGTAGCAGAAGCAGGCTCATGGTGCGTCGAGAGTGCTGGCAGTTTTGTTGAATATATCCAATCGATGGCGCGTGGGGGGGATGTGTGTGGGGTGGGAGTGGAGGGGGTGCTGTAGCCGGCTCAAGCCTTGATGTCTCCAAACTAACCGATTCATTTGCGCGCGGCGCAGGGCCTTGTTTTATTAACGTGTAACAACTCTACAGCGACAAGCAAAACAAAAACAAAACATATGTTTGTTTTTTTTTAATAACATTGGTTGAAAACATGACCCCCAAGTGTACGATCTTCAGCCGCGCAGTAATCATAGCAGTCAATAGTTCAAACTGCAAAGGGTCCCTGACCCTTCAAATTGAGCAAATCATAATAGATTAACTTGAGTGGATCCCCCCAAGTGCTTTGTAACGTTTACAATTAACTATGAGTTTAAAACTGCGCGCTGAGGAAGGCCGATGGAAGGGTTGGGACATCCCTACCACACAAAATTTCACGTAGATCATGCTCCGCTTACTTTTAAAACGTATGATAGTGACCAAAGAGCTTTATATTGCGATTTTGTCATTTCCTAACAACTATTACTACTTACTATTTTCTTTTTAGCACAAGCCACCAGATAATAATTTTAAGGGCGTCCACGGACGCCCTGGACTCCCTACATAGCCGCCTCTGCTCGTAGTCTAGAGTCTGCATTCTAACTACATGTCCAAACCAACGTAAGCCTGGCATACTGATGAAAGTGGCCACATGAAAGAACACATTCAATCCTAAGGAGACTTCTCAAGAGGTCTGATGGAAAACCTTGAAAGCGTTTCATCTGCTTTGTGGTGGTGATTGAGACTTCAGCTTCCATACAACAAGATGGTGAGGACAGCGCCCTATCGATCCTGATCTTGTTGAGTCTTTATAGTTCTGCTATTCCAAATGTTTCCAGACTGATGAAAGGCGCCATTAGCATCTGGATACGACATCCAGGTCTCCTGTCGATTGTCCCATCCCTACTGATAGTTGCACACAGGTAGACAAAGTTGCCTAACCTGCTCACCGTGTTTCAACCTCAACCGACAGCTCTTCACAACCCAGCACAAAAAAACGGCATGGGATTGTACACGATAGCTTCTTCCAAAAATTCGTTTTCATTACGCTTACAAACATATCGAGAACTGCCCAAGTTAGTGCCTTAAAAAAATGCACTGAGCTCAGGCAAGACGGATTTTGTTAGCAGTCAGGCCCCCGATGAAAAGGTAATTCTTGGCTAAAATTCGATACATAGACATGAAGTTTTTTAAACCTTAGGATAATTGCTATCAACATGCAATCAGGGGAAACTAACGAAATAAACCTCTCAGGTAGATCAAGAAGTTCACAGGATTCTGTCAGGTGCCCAACAGTAATAATTCACACATCTACGTAGCGCTCTCAAAGATTTTTGAATTGATTTGCGATGAGGAGCCGCGCAATGAAATAACTTCACGGAAAGCCTAAAATTCATAAATAACAATATAGTTTGTACTTGAAAAATTTTTAAGTCATTCTAAAATCTTATCAACCGCAAAAATGTAAACGAAATTAACAAATAAAATTCTGTTCTGCATTTAATGAATACAATTAAATTAAAATTAAATTTAACTAATTTTCATTTTCTGCTCATTTCACTATTGGAGGACTTCGCCGCTTCGACGCGCCGCGCGAACTAGCATTCTTGCTTCGCAGAGCAAAGATTTCGATGGGTTGACATCGTCAACCAAATTTCACTATTACATAATTTTTTTACTTTTTTGCCGCATGTTTGTTTATTGATTTTGGTTGACTTCTTGAAAAAGCAAATCTTTTTGCTGTTAGCTTAAACTGTAATTAACATTCAAATTAATCATCGAGCAATTCAAAAATTAAAGCAAGCCGCGCACGAAATTAAAAACAGTTTTTAGTTTAAAATATGGTTCCATGTTGCTTTTCTCACGTACAACGTCATATATTTGGTTAATTTTGTTATATTTTTGCGATAAAAAAGATTATTGAAATGACTTATAAATTTTAAAAGTTAACAAAATAAATCATATTTATGGATTTATCTTTTCCGATGAATATTTGATGCGCGCGCCTCAATCGCAAATAATTCCAATCGAGCGCTATGTAAGATTTTGTGAATTTATTAATTGTTTGGGTGACTGCAGAATCCTGTTGAACTTCTGATCTACCTGCGAGGTTTATTTTGTTAGTTTTTTGCTTGCAAGATGATAGGGAAAAACAATACCTAAAGGTTTAAAACTTCACATGTATAGTACGCAATCTTAGCCAAAGAATTACTCCTTATCGAGGGGCCTTGACTGCTAACAAATCCGTCCTGCTGAGCTCAGTAAACCTTTTTAAAAGCACTAAATTGGCCAGTTCTCGATTGTTTTTAAGCAGGAAATGAAACCGAGTCTTTTTAAGGAGCTATCGTTTACAACCTTTGTATACGGTACGAAAGGCATCCTTGCAAGCATGATATATTTCCATAATTTATTCATATGATTTTACCACAAATCACACATTTGGTCCATGAAAGAGATCTGATTTTGGTAATTTCCAATTTAGTATTGATTAGATTGGATTTACAGTAGAGGAAAAGTTTTGTTATGTAAAAACGGACAATGCTGCTTTACTTGTGCTGGTTTGAAGAGCTGTTCGTGAGGGTGAACCCGTTGACAGGTAAGCAACTTGTCTACCTGTGTGCAAACTATCAGTGGGGATGGACAATTCAACAGAGACCTGGATGTCCGTATCCAGAAGCTAATGGCGCCTTTCATTCAATCAGCTCTGGAAACATTGGAATAGCAGACCATATAAAGACTTTAACCAAGATCAAGGATTCGTATAGGGCTGCTGTCCCTCTACACATCTTTTTGTACGGAGCTAATGTCTCAAACACCACCAAAAAGCAGATAAACGCTCAAGTTTTCCATCAGACCTCCTTGAGAAGTATCCTTAGGTTTGAATGGTTCTTTCATGTGACCCAAAAAACATTTTCATCAGTACTGGCCAGGCTACGTTGGTAATGGACATGCAGTTTAAATGCCAGACTCTAGACTCCCGAGCCCAGAGGCGGCTATTTAGGGCTGTCCAAGGCGTCCGTTTGGACGCCCTAAAATTATTATTTGGTAGGCTTGTGCTTAAAAATAGAAATAGTAAGTAGTAATATGTTGGAAATAACAAATCGCAATAAAAAGCCTCATTATTCACTATCCTAAACGTTTTAATGTAGCGCATACGCATGATCTACGTGCAATTTTGTGGTTGTAGGGAGTTCCAAACCCTACCATTGCCGACTTCTTCATCACCGCGTAGTTTTCTAAAACACATAGTTAATTGGTAAACGTTCCAAAGCACGTCATGGCGCATCCCACTACAGGTAAACTATTATGATTTGCCGCGATTTGAGGGTCCAGACCTTTGCAGTTTGAACCCATTTGACTGCTATGATACTGCGCGCGGAGCATCGTACACGGTGATGTCCTGTTTCAACCATGTTTATAAGTTTTTTGTTTATTGTTTGCTGTCCGCCTGTAAAGTGTGTACACATGACTTAAACAAGGCCCTGCGTTAAGAGCGCGAGGAAATCACACATTTGGAGAATCAGCTTGAGCCGGCTCCCAAGCACCCCTCCCACCCCCCCCCCAGTCCCATCGATTGGACCCCCAACCAAAAATTAAAACAAAAAAAAAAACCCCTGAAAAAAAAAAAAAAAATCAAAAAAAAAAAAAAAAATAATATTAAACCTTTGCCAGCCAGCTCCCATGAGCGCTTCTGCAACCGAGGTTTCGTGAACTGGAACCAAAATTATGGAAAGAGGTCAGAGGGGCAGACCCCCGGAAGAATTGAAAGACCTGCGTACTCAAAGAGCTTCTAAGTTTACAGTGTGAAAACATTCGACAACAACACATCAGACGCTTTGGCTCCAACCGAGTAACGTGGAGACATATGTTACGTACGGGCCGCCAACGCGATGTGTGTGAGCAGGCCACTCTCCAAACGACTAGGATCGGAGGCAACCTCTTCAGTACTTCAATTGAAGCATGAATGTGTATGATTTACATTTGCGATTCAGCTGTACTGAATTAAAGGAACCATTTCGAGCTTTCCTTTTAGCTACACTTAGATGGGGAAATGATTGGCAAAACAAACAATAATGAGTTGAAAGGGTTTTGAGGACACCTCACAGTAGAAAAGAGGTCCCGTATTCTGAGTGTGACAAAGTTTACGAAATGTTGCCTTAAAGCCGTTCGATCACTGCCCTTTAGGCCTACATTGTATCATAATTGTTAGATTGACCTAATCTACTATATTTTAGACCAAAAAATGCTAATTGGGCAGCTATGGTAAACAATGTCACAAAAATGTGACATTTTTTACATAATAGTGCCTAAAAGCAATACATTTTATTTTTGAGCAGTGCATATGGGAGTATGGGTCACGTGGCTAATGTTCAGAACTTATGAACACGCTAGATTAATAATTGTTAAAATTAAACCACTATCGTCAAAAACGCTGTTTTAGAAATTTACCAATTTCCTCAAACTTCAATGAACGTGTCCTAAAACCAACTTTCTGGGCAAGAAGCTTTTCACTTCACAATTTCGTTCAGATTGGAAGAGTTTGTATGCTGAGAAGAGTTAGAAGGGAGATGAAGAGTAAAACATGGCAAACATGTATTGGACAGTATTTATAGCTCGACAAAGGTATTTAAAATAACAACTGTATCATTAAATAATAAATTTCTTATTCAAATTGTCTCAGCATGAACTTGAAAAACTTTATCATTGACTGATGTTGGCCTACATTTAGTGTTAGTTCTTTAGTTATTTAGTGTGAGTTCTTCAATTTTAAGCTTCACCCTTTCATTTTAATATAATATTTTCAAGTATATATGATACCATGACCAGTCCTAACTTTTATCATGATTGTTTCTGTAGATTAAACACTGCTGAGTATACGTTTATCATTAAATAGTGGTGTTCTTAAGCGTCAATTTATTATTATTATTGTTGCATTGGATTCGGTCCCATACTTCCTACTTATGATTATGTTTTTGGATGTTTAACTGTGGACATACTTTAATTTTAGATTCCAGAAAATTTTATTTAACTGTCTTGCTCAATCAAAATGGTTTTAGGGATCAGGAGCTCTGGAGCTATAATATGAAACACATGCTTTTAAACATCATGGAGTAGGCAAAAATGTTCAGAGCAGAAAAAAAGGGGAATATCCTGAAGACATAAAGTCAAGCTTCAATTCTGGTTAAAAGATGAAATCAACTGAGGTTTGCCATTCAATTTATATATTCTTAAGTTTATTAATTTCATAAGTAATTATTTGATAATTTGGCTTTGTCTACCTTTGCAAAGGATTCTCAAAGCACTTCCTCCTCTATTCAATGTTCTAAGCTATGTTAAAAATATTATCCTCCCAACGTCGACAATTACACTGTTTCTATCTACCCTGAATCTCCCTCTGCCCACCTCTTCTAGATTGCAGACCCACCATTCTGATTGCCAGACCCAATCTTCTACGGCGGAGACCCGCCATTCTGGTTGCCAGACCCACTCTTCTAGGGCGAAGACCCACCATTCTGGTTGCCAGACCCACTATTCCAGAGTGTAGACCCACCATTATGGTTGCCAGACCCACTCTTCAAAGGTGAAGACCAACCATTTTGGTTGCCAGACCCACTCTTCTAGAGTGAAGACCCACCATTCTGGTTGCCAGAACCACTCTTCTAGAGTGATGACCCACCATTCGGGTTGCCAGACTCACTATTCTAGAGTCCAGACCCACAATTATGGTTGCCATATCTCCTATATTCTAGTTTATAGACCCCCAATTCTGGTTGCCAGACCCACTCTTCTAAGGCGAAGACCCACCATTCTGGTAGCCAGACCCACTATTCCAGAGTGTAGACCCACCATTCTGGTTGCCAGACCCACTATTCTAGAGTCCAGTTTACCCACAATTCTGGTTACCATATCTCCTATATTCTAGTTTATAATAGACTCAATAGCTCATATACAAATTTCCAAATTCTTGTCCCCTTATATTGACATTGGAAAAGGAACAAAGCAGGGACACCCCTATCACCGGACCTTTTTAAAATCTATATCAAAGACTTGTCATCTCTCCTGAAATCTGTTGGTGATTATCCTATTCTAGCTGACGTCCTAATATCACATCTGCTCTGGGCTGACGATCTTGTCCTACTTGCCCTAAGTCCCAAGGCATTGCAAGGCAATATCAACATCCTATTCGACTTCTGTAACTCTATGGGCCTTGAAGTAAACATTAAAAAAAACCAAGATTCTCATATTCTGCCCTCCTAAAAGAAAACAATCCTATGAAACATTCATTTTGGGAGGCCAGCCCATCCAACACACCGAAAAATACTGCTATCTTGGCATAATATTCCACAGAAATGGATCTTTTACAGCAGCAAATACTGAGCTGAGGGCCAAGGCTCTCCGTGCTCTATATGGCCTCCAAGGCAATATCGTTAAAGATGCCCTCTCTCACAGTTCCCTAAACATTTTATTTGACTCTCTAATAAAACCGATCCTGCTCTATGGCTGCCAAATCTTATGTCCCCACTCAAAAACCATGAGATACCTCTCCAAAACGTATAGCAAAGCCAACCCCAAGCATACTCTCAAGTACATCTCACAAGACCACTATGAAAGTTTCCACCTTAAGTTTATCAAGTGTTCCTCGTCTGTCTATTCAAAAGCATCAAATATAGGCTGCTGGGGCGAAAGTGGGCGCCACCCCCTATTCTTTGAAGCCTGCAAACTTGCAATAGATTTCTATAGTCGCCTTGAAAGCACTGAAAATGAACTTCTCTCCGCTGCATTTCAAGAGCAGATTATGCTGGGCCTTCCTTGGTACACCAACATCTCCAATCTTATCACCAAATATAACTTCCCCACTCATCCTCTTCAAAATCCAAGCTCTCTACCCAAATCAGTCACAACATGAGGGAAGAATTTGTGGATACCTGGAAATCTGCCAAGGCATCCTCACCTAAATTAGAATTTTACAATCAAATTAAACATGATTTTGAACCAGAAACATACTTGGGAGTGGTTAAGATCCCTGATGCTCGGAAAAGCTTAACAAGGTTTTGTATTAGCTGCCACAATCTTTACATTGAGAGGGGCCGTTACGAAACCCCCCTAGAACCAAATTAATGTTCTAACTGACTGTTTACTCTACTCCTCAGTTAGAGAAAAATTTAACTTCCATCCCAAAAATATTACTGACCTAGCTAGGTTTGCTATCCGATAAAACTTTAGACCCTACAAAATGTACTGCCACAGCAAGAGCAATCCATTCAATTCTCTCTGTGAACGAACTGTGGACCTCAAAATAAGATCGAAATCTACAAATCCGATCTATTTATAGAAAAATAGTATTATAAAACATTTCTATTTTATCCCTACACATTTATAAGTAACTAAAATTTTGTAACCTTAAATTATTTCAGAATTATAACTATTGTGAATTCAATAAAATAATTATCACTTTTGTATCCTTGTATCCTTGTATCCTTGTATCCTTGTATCCTTGTATCCTTGTATCCTTGTATCCTTGTATCCTTTTATCCTATCCTAGACTCCCAATTCTGGTTGCCAGACCCACTCTTCTAGAGTGTAGACCTACAATTTTGGTTGCCAGACCCGCTCTTCTAGAGTGAAGACCCACCATTCTGGTTGCCAGAACCACTCTTCTAGAGTGATGACCCACCATTCGGGTTACCAGACCCACTATTCTAGAGTCCAGACCCACAATTCTGGTTACCATATCTCATATATTTTAGTTTATAGACCCCCAATTCTGGTTGCCAGACCCACTCTTCTATAGTGAAGACCCACTATTCTAGAATGCAGACCCACCATTCTGGTTGCCAGATCCACTCTTCTACGGCGAAGACCCGCCATTCTGGTTGCTAGACCCACTATTCCAGAGTGTAGACCCACCATTCTGTTTGCCAGACCCACTCTTCTAGGGCGGAGACCCACCTCGCCCCCCCCCCCCCCCCCCCCCCCCATTATTTAAGACGATCACATGTGATATATTTAGCAGCAGTCCTTTAAGTTTAATTACATCTTATATTATCTCGGTGCTGATATTTATAATCATTTTCGCAGCGCTGTACCTACTGTGGTTGAGTGAAGGTCCCAACTTTGGGGGTTTAGTTTCTTGAAATCAGTCGATGTTGTGTGTACTCCAGTCATGGTTCCCAAGTAAGCTGCTTTTCGTGACCTCCTAATTATTATAATCGGCGACAATATCTCGTTTCATTTCATGATCGAAATGTTTACCAATTCGTGTGATATTTGATATTTGACTTCTGATAGAGGTCCTGATTCTATATCTAATGCATTGTTCTTGTCTATTACATAACCCCAGAACTTGAAAGGTTTCAGTTTTTACACGTCTAACAACCCTCGTGTTTTGTTTCAGAGCGTGATATCAACGAAGCGGCCTCTGCTATTGTGCACGACGCGATTCTGTCACACATATGGTCCCTTCGAAGACTTATGTTCACACTACCAGGCCCCCTACATATCATCTACTACGGATGTCTTTTAAATGTCCTCCGCAAGTGACAAGCAGTTCAGACGACCAATGTTGCGTGAACTGCTATGATGATCTTAAGATGCTGGCAGGCTGTACATCACATAAAAACGAACAAACTAAGACTGATGGTTAACATAATGTTCATTTGATTATCATGCCGTGCTATGTTTTCATGTATTAGATTTAATATCTTATCTGCTTAAAAGAATTGTGTTATCATTTAGACATCAAGCTTCGTAAACTCGACATTTTCAATAGCTGTGGGCTAAACAAGTTTTCGCCATATTTCAGTCACCGTTTATCTTGTTGTCATTATATCTGGTGGTTCAGACGAATACACAATCTTACGTTCCGTTAAATATAACAAAAGGCGTGGTTAGTCACTGTAAATGCATCAAAACTGTCCGAAGAAATAGCTAAAGAAATTGTGCCAAATACTGGCAAATTTTTAAAACTCTGCTCTCTTTAATTATTGAAATCCATCCAAGTAAAAAGTTGTATTACCAGAGTTGTATTCAAACAACCTTGTCTACGGCTTCTTGGAAGAAAATGGAACCGGATTCTATTGGACGTTCTGAAAATGGTAAGGCTGAAAATGGTAGGGCTACAAAACTAAGTTGGAACACATCTTGTTTGAATACTGTTGAACCAAATTCAACTCTCTGCAACAACACAAGCAGACAAAATTTCTCAAAATCCGTTTTATCTGCTCAACTGGTTCTAAATTCTTGAATCCAGCCAAGGGTATAATGGGTGTTCTGGGAGTGCTAGGGCCACCAAACTTCGTAGGAACACTATTAGGGTCAATACCAAACGATTCCGACCTGTTTTGGGGCCATCCGACGAGTTTTAGAAAAAAAATTCATTTTTGTTCATTCCGTTCATTCCATGACTCAGGGAGCCTCTGGCGACAATTTTGACGTCAAAATAGTTAGTAAACACATCCCCCTACACCGTACAATCATCTGCAGCACTCTGCAGCCCCTTTAACAGACTAAAATGACCGTATCAAAATGCCTCAAAAACCGTATCATCTGGTATCAATATCGGATACTCAGGAACCAGCTTTCTGATACGGAAATGGAATCAAGTCTCTAGTGGGCGTTCTGGGAGTGCTAGGGCCACCAAACTTTGTAGGAACACTATAAGGGTCAATACCAAACGATTCCGACCTGTTTTGGGGCAATCCGACGAGTTTTAGAAAAAAAATTCATTTTTGTTCATTCCGTTCATTCCATGACTCAGGGAGCCTCTGGCGACAATTTTGACGTCAAAATAGTTAGTAAACACATCCCCCTACACCGTGAAACCATTTCCAGCACTCTGAGACTACTTTAACAGACTAAAATGACCGTATCAAAATGCCTCAAAAACCGTATCATCTGGTTCCACAATTTCCGATTTATCTTCTGTTTGCCGCGGACGCGATACCTGAAACCTAATGAAAGCTTACGGCGCGGCTGACATTGTCATGCTTTCAGCCGCGCTACGTTTCCAGTTTCAGGCGCGCTACGTTTCAATACCACTCGTAGGTGGGCACACCACTGTGAGGCACAGTGGTGCATCTCGCCGATCTACCGAAGGATTGATGCATAACAACAAGACACGCGCTAAAGACGCGCATTTTCTGAGTGATGTTAACGATAGCTTTAAATTCACTGATGTCATTATTATTCAGCGTGACCGGTAATAGTTTAAAAATCAGAAGGAGAAAACACATGTTTAAATTACTAAAAAAGGAGTATCACTTTACAGGATTGAATTTAAATATAGTCATAATAGATAAGAGAGGAATTTGTTTCCCTTTGAATCAATCAAACTAGATGAATTGTTGTAAATACTTAGATCAAACTATCAATCTACAGGCTATCGTCAAACATGTTGCAAGGCGTCATCTTCAGTGACATAATAGATAAGAGTTTATTAACTATCATGCCAACTTTAGAGACGGTAACCACATTAAACTAAAGTTTTCCCAATCAAAATAAAGGGTTTATACAAAATAAAAGGTTTATGCACTAGACTGCGAGACAATTAACCTTATGCAATGCAGGTTAGTATAACTATAATATCGGACTGAGTTGAAATTTCTGAGAGCATGATACCCCAAAATAAATATATGCCTGTGTCTGGCAATAGCGTTCAGATGGCTTCCGAACTTGTGCGGATAAGATAATATAAAAAATACAAATAAACTATAATAACAATCTGAAAATTAATGTATCAGTACAGATCTTATACTCGAAATCAGGCACTTTCAAAACATTTCTCTTAAATTATCTTTCTTAACACCGTTCAATTATAACTTTAAATTAAAATATTATGATGATCCGGACGATGATAAATATTAAATTACAACTGATTATATTTATGGATTTCGGCCTGTCGATGCTGGAAGCTGATCAGCTAATCGTTAATCGTTACCATGTGACAAGAATAGTATGATGAACCTCCCAATCAGTATCTATGTATCAAAAGAAAATATTGATCTAATTCAACTCGTCGGGAGCCCTTTTGAAACATCTCGAAGTTAGAGTGCAGAGTGCATGATTACTGATTATCAGCACGATTGGGTGAAACAAAGACGAAACCGTGTGTTGATTAGAATTAAAAGAGGAAGATATTTAGTGATAAATTGTGCACTCTTGCATTTAAGTTTTAATTGTTAGACTTGTTCGATGTAGGGCCTTTAATTTAACCTAATACTAATGCAGTTACTTAATACTTGGTAAGTCTAGGGAAAACAGGTGCTAGTTGTCGGAAATGAAATGGAGTCTGTTCCTGATCGAAGTTACATGATGCTGATAGATTTGATGCAGCTCAGCACTCAGCAGCCACTGTCTTCAAATAGAGTGTTCCAGTTCTGCAATCTGCAGTCTCAAATGTTTTCGCCCATCTTTTCTTTTCATCGTGGTTATAGAAGACAGACCTGAAGAAATACTAGTATAATGATAATATAGGTAACATGTCCAGAATGAGTAAAATTGAATTATCGGCAAATTTACTTATGTGAAAACTCCCAACAGGGTGGCGCTGGCCCAGAAGTAACTGCACACAAGCAACCCTTTAATGATCACGCACGTAATTTGTGTGAAAATATGTAACTCATTTAACGAAGTCAGTGAAAAGAACCTACCTTTATTTACCAATGTCGATTTTTTGCTTGTGATGAAGTAGTCCTCGCAAATGTGAGATATGTATGTAGTTTGTTTTTAAAAGTAGGATTGTAGTCATAGTCGATGTATAGCGACGGTAGTTTACCAGCAGCTCCCTGTACAAATAGAAATGTGGTTTTTATATAATATTACTAGTTAAATTAATGAGTACAATGCAGGAATAAAAAAATGTGTCTTAAATGTTTTATATTAAATGTGTTATAATTATATTAACCACCTTATATTCGTATAATATGTACTCACAAACAATGATAGTCCCAACTGTTTTTAATTGCTTATAATTTAAACCTTCTTATTAAATAATTTAGATGACTGTGTCTGATCTAAAATTGCACGAGAAATAGAGAAAATTAGGTCTCAGACAGAACTCGACCGGGATATAACCGGCGCAGCCGGAATACCGGCTGGTATTTGGCGATTTTGTACCGGTACCGGCCGGGATTTTGGTTTTAGCCGGGATTTTTCCAAAATAAATTCAGTTTTTCTCAACGTTAATTTGAGTCCAAAATTAACAAATCTGTGAACATTTTCCTAAAACATTTTGACGAAGTCATTGAACAATGGAGACTGGAGTCAATCTATATTTAACATAATCATGGGTGTACGAATTATGGACTTCTTTCTGACTTATGACTTAATTATTGTGACTAAGTGTCACGGCTCACGGTCTTGTGTTACCGAGGGACAAGTAAAACAGAGTTCTCCGGGTAAAGAAAGCATTAATAAATGCTATTCAGTATTCATCCTATTCAATTATTCAGGTAAGGTGATGTAAACTGTAAAGTGATAAGCTCCAACGTCAAACACCATGTTCAATTAAATAAGTTTAAGTAACCAATACCAGATCACAGGATTGTTATAGTTACGGAGACTGTTGGAAACGATGCAAACCAGGATCGGACTCCTATCAGAAATAGTCGACCACCGGTCCAGCCTCCCTCAAACTCAAATGCCCTACCACTACCCCAGACCACATCCACCTCTTCAGCCAGGAACAGCGCTCCCACTATACCACTACCAGCAGTTCCTACCGCCTCAGAGGATACACTGCACGTGCCCGTTATTCCTCATGCCTCGTCTTAAATGTCCAGTCCATGAATCCTAGTGCATCAAGTGCGAGTATATGGGAAGTGCCAAAAATCTCAGCTCTTATTCAGGAGAAATCCAAAAACCACTCGTTACCGTTTATTGCACTTACGGAAACGTGGCTCAAGTCCTACATGTCAGACAAATACAAAATGTGCATCACCTCTTTCTCCTGCTGAGCAGAACCTCCCCCTTAAAAGTAAACAAATCTGCATCGCCTCCCAACGACAATCCAGATATATTAAGCAGCAGAGACAATCATTTAAGGAGACTTCGATATCTATCAGGATCATGATTTTACTGCCTGAGAACTCAGCACTTCAGGACGAAACATATAATATTTGGTTTTCTCGATTTCATTCATATTTAGACAGAAGTCCGTGTAGATAATTGGTTATAGAATAATTGGATATAATTTTATGCGAAGTTGTGTCTGCGAAAATATACGTGTGAACTGGTCATCCCGCAAATGCTGAAAAAGTAGATGTTACCTATCATAAAATAACCGCTCGCACCGTACAGTGTACACGACAGAGTTGTGACTGCGTTTACAAATTCTTTATCATATTGATGTGTTGCCATGGCAACCGAAACTCCATCGGAAGATCGGCCTGTAAGGCATAATCATGATAATACACAGTATCAAAACATTGCCATTGATATCATAGCAACATTCCAGAGATTAGATTATGTGTGTGTGTAAGAAAATGTATGTTATAGTATTATACAGTCTGCTAGAACATTCCGTTTACACATGGTGGCCGATAACAACTTGTTTAATTTATCTCCGAATTACACACAAATTTCTGAAAGTTTCGTAGACTTAAATCAATTACAGAGGGTGTGGCTATTGGCCAGCCCCTCTATTTCACTATTATGGTTGAAACTATAAGAATACAGATTATATTGTTACAGTGATTTTACAAAAGTCGAAACAGTAAACACCAATTTGTAGGATACTTTAAATCACACCAAAATTGGTCCCAGAATGCAATGAAATCTGATGGCGTCTTTTCAGTGAAAAAGAGGCCACACCCTCTGTAATTGAGGGGGGTAGGAAGCTCAATCTTATCAATCTCAATTTTGGAAAAATCGTGTTTCAGAATTGAGAAAATTGAGAAAATTGAAAAATGGACATCTTTATCTTTCCAAGTAACTAATTCATACACGAGCTAAATGTATGATGAAAATATGTTTCAAACTTATTACTGTGAAATGATTAATTATCTTATATTTGAGTTTGATCCTTTTGAACAGCTGCTGAGCAATAAAACGCATGCATAATATTAAATAGTAGAAATGATTAGGTAAAATATGATCAAAGTAATCATCACGTGAACGACCCATGGTTTTGCTAAAGGGGACGGATATGATTGTTAGTAGGTAATGTATAAGGGGGAGATAACGTTTTTTTTTTTGTTTTTTTTGTTTCAAAAATTTACTTTAACCATAACAGAAAAAACAAAAATTCATTTTGAGCCATTTCGAAGGAAATAGTAACTAGTAAAGGTTGAGACTAGCTAGAGGTCTGTGGTCACCGATGGAGATGGCATCTTTTGATATTAGGGTTTTACAGCCCGGAGCCAAATCCAACACTAATCAAGACACCCCAGAAAAGTTGTACAGTAAGCATGAGAGAGAGAGAAAGAAAGGAAATATGGAGACCGCTGTGTAAAGATTGAAAAAGGAACCTGCAATGGTCTTGTATTCTCTACCAACGGAGGTATGAGCCCACAGGCTACCATGTTCCTTAAAAGAGTAGCAACACTTCTGGCAGCCAAGACCAGCCGGGACAAAAGCCTCATCATGGCGAATCTAAGACATCGTTTGAGGTTTGAGCTACTTAAAACAGTTTTGATAGCAGTGAGAGGACACAGAGGACGGTATTATGAGAAAGCGATACCTGTTGACGAACTCGACCTCAATCTTGCACACACCACCAATGATGAAGACAGGGGTGATGATGTTGATGAGGAAGATGAGGAAGATGAGGAAGATGATGAAGTTGAGAATGAGGTTGAGAATGTAGAGGGAGAGCTTTTAGAAGAGTGAGCTGAATGGAAGACAAGATTCTATTCCATTTTATTGATTATTATATTTATTGAAATAAAGATATAATATCCATTACTCCAGGAGTGGCGACAAGATATATATAAAAAAAGTAAAGGTTGAGACAGCCTTGTTACACAAATATATCATTAATATAATTTTCAGAGAGATTTCAGGGCTCATGTTTGTTTTTGTCCGTTCGATTTTGTCCGTTTTTAGAAAATGAGGAGGAGGAGTACTGAGGAGGAAGACGGCACTGAGGAGGACTGAGGAGGACTGACGAGGAGGAGGACTGAGAAGGAGGAGGAGGTGGAAGTGGAAGTGGAGGAGGACTGAGGAGGAAGAAGAGGAGGAGGACAATGAGGACTGTGGAGAAGGAGGACTGAGGAGAAGGAAGAGGAGGAGGAGGACTGAGGAGAAGGGGGAGGACTGAGGAGGATGAGGACTGGGGAGGAGGAGGAGGAGGACTGAGGAGGACCGAGTATAAGTAGTAGGATGAGGATTAAGGAGGAGGAGGAGGAAGAAGACAGAGGAAGAGTAGAACTGAGAATGTGTCTTATATACAAGGACTGAGGAGGAGGAGGACTGAAGAAGAGGAGGACCGAGGAAGAGGTGGAGGAGGAGGAGGACTGGGGAGAAGGAGGATGAAGAGAAGAGGAGGAGGATGAGTAGGAGGACTGAAGAGGAGGAGGACTGAGAAAGACTGAGGGTGAGGATGAGGATTGAGGAGGAGGAGGAGGAGTAGGAGGAAGAGGAAGAGGAAGAGGAAGAGAAGGGAGAGAACTGAAGATTGAAGAAGAGTAGAACTGAGAATGTGTCGCACATACAAGGACAGAGGAGGAGGAGGACAGAAGAAGAGGAGGACCATGGAAGAGATGGAGGAGGAGGAGGACTGGGGAGGAGGAGGATGAATAGGAAGAGGAGGAGGATGAGTAGGAGGACCGAAGAGGGGGAGGAGGAGGAGGAGGACTGAGAAAGACTGAGGAGGAGGATGAGGATTGAGGCCTGAGGAGGAGAAGGAGGAAGAGAAGGGGAAGAACTGAAGAAGAGTAGAACCGAGAATGTGCCGTACATACAATTACTGAGGAGGAAGAGGATGACTGAGGAAGAGAAGGACTGAGTAAGAGGTAAAGGAGGAGGAGAACTGGTGAGGAGGAGGATAAAGACGAAGAGGAGGAGGATGAGTAGAAGGACCGAAGAAGAGGAGGAGGACTGAGAAAGACTGAGGAGGAGAATAAGGATTGAGGACTGAGGAGGAGAAGGGGGAAGAGAAGGGAGAAAACTGAAGAAGAGTAGAACTGAGAATGTGTCGTACATACAAGGAATGAGGAGGAAGAGGATGACTGAAGAGGAGGAGGACTGAGGAAGAGGAGGACTGAGGAAGAAGTGGAGGAGGGGAGAACTGGGGAGGAGGAGGATAAAGAGGAAAAGAAGGACGGAATGGGACTGAGGAGTACGAACACTGAGGAGGATCAGTAGGACTGAAAAGGAAGAGGACTGAGGAGGAAAAGGAGGAGGAGAAGGAGAATGACTGAGGAGAAGGAGGACTGAGGAGGAAGAGGATGAGGATGGGGAGGAGGGGGACTGAGAACGATGACTGAGGAGGAAGAGGACTGAGGAGGGGGACTGAGGAGGAGGACTTAGGAGGAGGAGGACTGACGAAGAGGAAAGGGAGGAGGGGAAAGGAGGAGGAAGCATCTACATGTTATTTCCGTAACAGTTTTTGTCCGTTTATGATCATTTACGTCTGTTTCTGTCCGTTTTTGAGGAGGAGGAGGATGAGGGTGGGGATAAGGAGGACTGAGGAGGAGGAGGATGCGTAGGAGGACTGGAGAGGAGGAGGTTGAGAAGGTTTGAGGAAAAGGAGGACTGAGGAGGAGGGGGAAGAGGTAGAGGAGGACTGAGGAGAAGGAGGACTGATAAAGAGGAGGATGAGGAGGAGGATGAGTAGGAGGCCTGAGAAGGATGTTAAGGAGGAGGAGAACTGAGGAGGAGGACTGATGAGGAGGAGGGGGAGGAGGGGAGAAGGAGGATCTAAATGTTATTATCGTAACAGTTTTTGTCCGTTTATGTCCGTTTATGTCGATTTACGTCCGTTTCTGTCCGTTTTTTGAGGAGGAAGAGGAGGATGAGGGTGGGGAGAAGGAGGACTGACAATGTACTGTACATGCGAGGAGGAAAAGTAGGAGGACTGGAGAGGAGAAGGTTGAGAAGGTCTGAGGAAAAGAAGGACTGAGGAGGAGGGGGAAGAGGTTGAGGAGGACTGATAAAGAGGAGGATGAGGAGGAGGATGAGTAGGAGGACTGAGAAGGATGATAAGGAGGAGAAGAACTGAGGAGGAGGAGGAGGAGGAGGAGTAGGAGGAGGAGGAGAAGGAGGAGGAGGAGGTGGAGGAGGAGGTGGAGGAGGAGGAGGAGGAGGAGGACTGAGGAGGAGGGGGAAGAGGTTGAGGAGGACTGAGGAGGAGGAGGGCTGATAAAGAGGAGGATGAGGAGGAGGATGAGTAGGAGGACTGAGAAGGACGATAAGGAGGAGGAGAAATGAGGAGGAGGAGGAGGAGGAGGAGGAGGAAGAGGTGGAGGAGGAGGAGGAGGAGGAGGAGGACTGAGGAGGAGGGGGAAGAGGTTGAGGAGGACTGAGGAGGAGGAGGACTGATAAAGAGGAGGAGGAGGAGGAGGAGGAGGAGGAGGAGGAGGAGGAGAAGGAGGAGGGAAGGAGGATCTAAATGTTATTATCGTAACAGTTTTTGTCCGTTTTAGTCCGTTTTGATGAGGATGGGGAGAAGGAGGACTGAGAAGGTATTGTACATGTGAGGACTGAGGAGGACTGAGGGGAGGAGGATGCGTAGGACGGAAGAGGAGGAGGTTGAAGAGGACTGTGAAGAGAAGGACTGACGAGGATGGGGAGAAGGAGGAGGATGAGGAGGAGGAGGATGATCCATCTGGTCTTACAGTGTCTAAGTACTGAATTTTATTAAGTTTTTTGATCATGGTTGCTACCAGAGTCAATTTTATCATCTATAATGTCCTAGTAACAGCGATACATACAGATTATTGTACTCCTGTATACGTAACTTTAACAGTAATCGGAAAATTATGGACTGATCAGTGAACTGAGTTAAACGGAAAAATGATTTTAAAAGATTTTAAATTTTATCAATTTTATCAATTTTCTCAATCTCAATTTCGGAAAAATCATGTTTCAGAATTGAGATTGAGCTTCCTACCCCCCAATTGATTAAAGTTTACGAGACCTTTAGAAAATGAGTTATATAACTTGCAACTTAAACTAAGATAAATTGAGTATTTATACTCAATTTATCTTAGTTGCATGAGTAATATATATATACTCTCATTTTTTTAGAGCAAACGTAATTTAAATGGCTAAACACAATTCAATAAAATTTGGCTCGATCCGATTATCCAAACTATCAAATAAATGCGAAAATGAACCTTCTTTTGAAAACAATGAACACAAATATGTTTCGATTTGACAAATTTCTCGAACCAGTGGTGGTAGTAAGTCATACCAGAACCAATTATTTCAATTGGGCACTCAGTGACTGAGCTATTAATGCCAACGTTTGCACACTGACTTTTGGCCCACCCTGTATATTTATAATATACGGCTGGAAAAAATGTAACTGGATATCTGCCACAATGCTGCTATTATTAAGGTTAAAGTAACATTTAGCACATAAAGAAGTCTGGTTTGCTAGGTTTTAATTGGTCGTATAATAACAAATAAAAATGAGTTAAGACTACAAAAACGGTCGATAGAACCTAATTATAATACCTGTATCGAGAACTCGACTTCAATGCACTGATAGCGTTGGTACTAACATTCTATCAAATTATGTCATATCTTGAGACTTGATAGCTGCCTGAAACAGTTTTGAGTCAACATTATCGTGATATTCTAGAAATTGAAACCAATTCTCAACTTTAAAAAAGCAGGTTTCAATAAATGCCATAGAATTAAATTCTACCTTTTTAAATTTTAAGAATTTGTTGATTTATTAAAATTCTGTCTCAATTAATATATAAGGGTACATGCAATGTATTTCGACACGCACTGTAGACTCACTTAGGCTCATGGTAGTCGGGTGGCGCGCACGAGCGATAAGACTTATGGCTCGGTCGACCGAGCGATAAGTAGCTCCTTATCGCTCGTGCGCGTCGTCACTTCAAGCACAGTTGCGCGTCGTATCGTACTCGATGCTTGCCAAAGAGCTTTAATACTTTGGTTTTGGCGTGTTACATCTGAACAGAAGTACTTGAGACCAGAATTGCCGGATTTTTGCCGGATAATCGCGCTGCAAATTTCCCAAACTTTTCCAAAATATCACTTGAAATCATGGCCAACTGTCCGCAAAACTCGGCAAATATTAACAGGACAATACCAACTTCCACATATACCACTGTGAAGTAATATAGACTAGGTAATACCTGAAACACAAGGATAAGTTTTGTTATTTGGCGCTGATTTTTTTGCCGGATTCTTGAATAACGGAAAATCGTATTGATAAATGTTCTTTAAACTCTTCAAATAGTTAGAGCACTATAATACGGTCAATTTCAGGGAGTATAAAAAAATTTCTTCGTCTGTGAGTGGAGATACAAGGTCAAACACAAGAAAATATCTTCATTTGGCCAGAATTTTTGCCGGATTCTTGAATAACGGAAAATTGTATTGATAAATGTTCTTTAAACTCTTCAAATAGTTAGAACACTATAATACGGTCAATTTCAGGGAATATAAAAAAATTTTTTCGTCTGTGAGTGGAGATACAAGGTCAAACACAAGAAAATATCTTCATTTGGCCAGAATTTTTGCCGGATTCTTGAATAACGGAAAATTGTATTGATAAATGTTCTTTAAACTCTTCAAATAGTTAGAGCACTATAATACGGTCAATTTCAGGGAGTATAAAAAAATTTCTTCGTCTGTGAGTGGAGATACAAGGTCAAACACAAGAAAATATCTTCATTTGGCCAGAATTTTTGCCGGATTCTTGAATAACGGAAAATTGTATTGATAAATGTTCTTTAAACTCTTCAAATAGTTAGAGCACTATAATACGGTCAATTTCAGGGAGTATAAAAAAATTTCTTCGTCTGTGAGTGGAGATACAAGGTCAAACACAAGAAAATATCTTCATTTGGCCAGAATTTTTGCCGGATTCTTGAATAACGGAAAATTGTATTGATAAATGTTCTTTAAACTCTTCAAATAGTTAGAGCACTATAATACGGTCAATTTCAGGGAGTATAAAAAAATTTCTTCGTCTGTGAGTGGAGATACAAGGTCAAACACAAGAAAATATCTTCATTTGGCCAGAATTTTTGCCGGATTCTTGAATAACGGAAAATTGTATTGATAAATGTTCTTTAAACTCTTCAAATAGTTAGAGCACTATAATACGGTCAATTTCAGGGAGTATAAAAAAATTTCTTCGTCTGTGAGTGGAGATACAAGGTCAAACACAAGAAAATATCTTCATTTGGCCAGAATTTTTGCCGGATTCTTGAATAACGGAAAATCGTATTGATAAATGTTCTTTAAACTCTTCAAATAGTTAGAACACTATAATACGGTCAATTTCAGGGAGTATAAAAAAATTTCTTCGTCTGTGAGTGGAGATACAAGGTCAAACACAAGAAAATATCTTCATTTGGCCAGAATTTTTGCCGGATTCTTGAATAACGGAAAATTGTATTGATAAATGTTCTTTAAACTCTTCAAATAGTTAGAGCACTATAATACGGTCAATTTCAGGGAGTATAAAAAAATTTCTTCGTCTGTGAGTGGAGATACAAGGTCAAACACAAGAAAATATCTTCATTTGGCCAGAATTTTTGCCGGATTCTTGAATAACGGAAAATTGTATTGATAAATGTTCTTTAAACTCTTCAAATAGTTAGAGCACTATAATACGGTCAATTTCAGGGAGTATAAAAAAATTTCTTCGTCTGTGAGTGGAGATACAAGGTCAAACACAAGAAAATATCTTCATTTGGCCAGAATTTTTGCCGGATTCTTGAATAACGGAAAATTGTATTGATAAATGTTCTTTAAACTCTTCAAATAGTTAGAACACTATGATACGGTCAATTTCAGGGAGTATAAAAAAATTTCTTCGTCTGTGAGTGGAGATACAAGGTCAAACACAAGAAAATATCTTCATTTGGCCAGAATTTTTGCCGGATTCTTGAATAACGGAAAATTGTATTGATAAATGTTCTTTAAACTCTTCAAATAGTTAGAGCACTATAATACGGTCAATTTCAGGGAGTATAAAAAAATGTCTTCGTCTGTGAGTGGAGATACAAGGTCAAACACAAGAAAATATCTTCATTTGGCCAGAATTTTTGCCGGATTCTTGAATAACGGAAAATTGTATTGATAAATGTTCTTTAAACTCTTCAAATAGTTAGAGCACTATAATACGGTCAAGTTCAGGGAGTATAAAAAAATTTCTTCGTCTGTGAGTGGAGATACAAGGTCAAACACAAGAAAATATCTTCATTTGGCCAGAATTTTTGCCGGATTCTTGAATAACGGAAAATTGTATTGATAAATGTTCTTTAAACTCTTCAAATAGTTAGAGCACTATAATACGGTCAATTTCAGGGAGTATAAAAAAATTTCTTCGTCTGTGAGTGGAGATACAAGGTCAAACACAAGAAAATATCTTCATTTGGCCAGAATTTTTGCCGGATTCTTGAATAACGGAAAATTGTATTGATAAATGTTCTTTAAACTCTTCAAATAGTTAGAGCACTATAATACGGTCAATTTCAGGGAGTATAAAAAAATTTCTTCGTCTGTGAGTGGAGATACAAGGTCAAACACAAGAAAATATCTTCATTTGGCCAGAATTTTTGCCGGATTCTTGAATAACGGAAAATTGTATTGATAAATGTTCTTTAAACTCTTCAAATAGTTAGAGCACTATAATACGGTCAATTTCAGGGAGTATAAAAAAATTTCTTCGTCTGTGAGTGGAGATACAAGGTCAAACACAAGAAAATATCTTCATTTGGCCAGAATTTTTGCCGGATTCTTGAATAACGGAAAATCGTATTGATAAATGTTCTTTAAACTCTTCAAATAGTTAGAGCACTATAATACGGTCAATTTCAGGGAGTATAAAAAAATTTCTTCGTCTGTGAGTGGAGATACAAGGTCAAACACAAGAAAATATCTTCATTTGGCCAGAATTTTTGCTGGATTCTTGAATAACGGAGCTGGAGCTAATTTATTTGAAGCACTATGTGCATGAGAGACCACGTTATAGTCACGTGCTCCTCCATCTGCATCTACACTGGCACATGCATATGTCGTGTGACACTACGCACTGCCACGTAATAGTCTGTAATTGGCCAGCGTTTCTGACACGTGACCTCCCTTTAACCAGTTCACTGCCAGAATCCGTTTAGCAGGACAAATAATTCACTGTCAAACTCTTAACAAAGACTCGGTCTGCTTACAGATTCGCAGTGTTCGAACTTACTGTCACAATTTGCACCGAAGTAAGTAAGTCCGAACGGTTTTTTGTCTTTATTCAGAGTGAATTCAATGTTTTTTGAATCTTGGAAACATTTTCATGTTCATGTTGATGTGAAGTTGTAAAACGTTTATTTTGCCAATTGGTTAAATGTGTAATCGTCTAACTTCTTTTAAATCTAGTTTAATCCAAATAGTAATCTGTGAAGTTACTGATCACAGAAAATTATCATTGTAGGTCTACGTTGGTTCCGGTTTTTCCGACTTCGACAGTATAGTGGGGTGTACGATACCAAGCCCTCTGCGGATGGATCCTGCTGAGTTATTAGATGATCCTAAACTTCCATCTTGATTAGACACTGGAAGATAATGTTACATAGTATGTTCATCCCCACGACCGAGCTACGATCGGTTCAGAAAGTCCTACTTTACATCATCTCTCTATTACCATGTTAGACTTATTAAATTTACACAGTAGGTTCCTGCTTCAGCACTAAAATTTGAAAACTTAGTTTTAAATTAGTTTAAATTTTTAAGTCTCTATTCTATATAAGTGTGTCTCCAGGCTCTATCTCAGCGACTGTACAGTAGACATTCCCACTTTTCGGCCAGAAAAGTCGTCTCATCACCGTATCAACAGCTTCCAACTGTAGAAGAAAATGTGAGCATTATCAAGTAGGTATCATTGCCATGTTACAAACTTATTAGATTTATACAGTACACGGTTCAGCAATTTAATTTTGTGGTTTGAAAATTTAGTTTTAAAAGTTTAAAGTCTCTATTCTATATAGGGAGTTTAAACTTTTGTACTTACATAATGGTTTCGTTACAGGAGCTACAGAAGTTACAAGGAGGGAGAATAATCCTCACGACTCGGACTAGGTTACGACTGGTTCAGAAAGTCCTAAGTGTATCTCCAGGCTTTATCTCAGCGACTACACAGTAGACATTCCCACTCTTCAGCCAGAAAAGTCGTCTCATCACCGACCACCGTATCAACAGCTTCCAACTGTAGAAGAAAATGTGAGCATTATCAAGTAGGTATCACTGCCATGTTACAAACTTAATACCTTATCGGTTAAAAGTTTTCCGGTTATAACTTTTCTTCAAACATCTCCAGAGGAAACAGTTATAACTAGTAATACTTTTAACCGGTAACATATAAAACCGGAAAACTTTTGACCGCCCAACGAAGTTGCATGTATTTGGTAATGATATATGCACTATAGCGTAGTGTGGTGCAGTGCTGAGTGCAGTGCAGTGCTGAGTGCAGTGCTGAGTGCAGTGCTGAGTGCAGTGCTGAGTGCAGTGCTGAGTGCAGTGCAGTGCAGTGCTGAGTGCAGTGCAGTGCAGTGCTGAGTGCAGTGCAGTACTGAGTGCAGTGCTGAG